CCTAGCCACCCCCCTCCTGAAGCCTCCGGCTACAAGCAACCCCTTCTCATTCCCGAGCCCCACCCCCACTGCTCCATCCTCTGCCTGACCCTTTTCTTCTCCCTTTCCCTTCTCCTGACTCATCCCAATCCCTTTCCGAACTAGCCCCCACATCAGCCAGGACCTTTACCTCCGCCTGTCCAGCCACTATACCTTCCTCCTTACCCCACCCCAACCCCAAGCCAGAACTGCACCTCCCGCCCGCTCCTTGAGTACTCGCCATCTCCGGCTCCTCGTTTCCTCTCCTCCACCATGTCCGTCTCCCACCATGCTGCTGCCGCTCTTTTATCCATTCATTCACTTACTGAGATCTCCTCTGTGCCGGCCTCGTGCTCCAGGCACAGAGAGAGTTGGATCTCATCCTGCCCTGGGGAGCAGGGGGAAAGACTCTGAGGGTGAGATCCAAGGATGGACTTGGGTCTGCAGAGGTATAGAGGGAGAACTAGAGTCTAGTCTGGGGCATCCTCATCTAGCGACTGATTAATTTATTCATCTGATTTTACCTAACCCCTGCTATGCACTGGGGATCCAGAGGGCAATCAGGCACAGCTGTTGTACCTGCGAGGAACTTCAACTCTGTGTCCAGCTGTGTTGGGCGGTGGGGCCCTATTCCTGGGGAGGTCAGAGCCCACTGCAAGAGATGGATTCAGCGCTAGACAGTGACATCTCAGGGTGATTAGGGCTGTGATGGAGGAAATACAGGCTGAAATCAGGGAGCCTTGAGAGATGAGGAGAGCCTGCCCCAGCCTAAAGGATGAGGAAGAACTCCCTAGAGGAGGAAATATGTGAGTTGAGACCTGAGGGTTAAAAAGTGAACCTAGGGAAAGGGGGAGGGGGGTGTTCCAAGCAGAGGAAACAGTCACTGCAGAGACTACAAGGTGGTGAGGAGATGGTGCTTTTGTTAGCCTGTTAGAAGTTCACAGAGAGGAACCCTGAGAGTAGGGGCAATGGGAAGCGATGGACCTGGAGAGGTGAACAAAGACCAACTCAGACCAAGGAGTTCAGACTTGATGTTGAGGACCACATGGAGCCATTGAAGGTCCAGGATCTCTGGAGAGACAGGGGCAGATCTGTGTTTTGTGAAAATGATGCTGGCGCGTATTGTGGAGAAGCTGTGTGTGTGTGTGTGTGTGGCAAGGGGAGGGAGGATTTGAAGCAGCAAGACTGATGAGATGGACGCTGTGATTGTCCAACAATGAGGAAAGGCACAGAGAAGCACCCATGGGAAGGTGACAGCTACTCAGTGGTCATGATTGGGAGGGTTGGGACCAGTGGCGAGCCAGTGCACCCTCCCTGCTCTCTCAATGCAGACCACACAAGAAAAGGCAACTCTTCCCCAGACCTGTCCTTACCTCCCCCTGACCTCCCACTTCCTCCACACTTAGGGCAGTGTGTGGAGCCACCCAGACTTCTAGCCCAGCTAGTGGGTAACAATGCTCCCATTGTTAGCTCCTAGCTCCCATCTCTGGGGTCCTCTGAGTCGTCTTTTTGCTTTGCAGGCTCGAAGCACTGACAGCCTGGATGGCCCAGGGGAGGGCTCAGTGCAGCCCCTGCCCCCAACAGGGGCGACCAGTGTGAAGGGAAAGCCTGGGAAGAGGTGAGGGATGAGGGAGAGGCTCAGCTGAGGATGGGGGTAGCCTCAGGAGCTGCTGGTGATGTCTGTCACCTGTCCTCCAGGCTCTCAGCTCCTCGAGGTCCCTTCCCCCGGCTGGCCGACTGTGCCCATTTCCACTACGAGAACGTTGATTTTGGCCACATTCAGGTATGAAGACTTTGCATCCAGGTGGGAAGGCGAAACCCTACCCCACCCCTGAAGCAATTCCAGCTGTGTACCTCTGGGCCTGGCTGCTCCACCCATCTGAGCAGTCCACAGCAGGAGTTGGAGGGACCAGGGTGGACCAAGAGAACTGCTCACACACTTAAGCATTTGCTCCATTATTCATTCAATTATTTTGTGTGCCAAGGCCCTGTTCTCTGACATCACCAGGCCTTGAGGAGGTCTCCGTCAGAGATTGTACAAGCCTGCATTAGTCAGGGCTGGGACAAAAGTATGGCCATCCTTTGCTTCCCTTTGCAGCTCCTGCTGTCTCCAGAGCGTGAAGGGCCCAGCCTCTCTGGAGAAAATGAGCTGGTGTTTGGGGTGCAGGTAACCTGTCAGGTGAGGCCACCGCTGCGTCTCACCTAGGGCCAAGGGACTGATTGTTGTGGTCCTCAGGTCAGTGCAATGAACCTCCTCTGTCCCTCCGGCTCCCACAGGGCCGTTCCTGGCCAGTGCTCCGCAGCTATGATGATTTCCGTTCTCTGGATGCCCATCTCCACCGGTGCATATTTGACCGGAGATTTTCCTGCCTCCCAGAGCTTCCGCCACCTCCAGAGGGTGCCAGGGCTGCCCAGGTAAACCAGCTTGTTGTCCCAGCCCCTGCTTTCACCATTGATGTGTCCTCCTCAACAATGTGCAGAATCGTCAGGATGGTGGGGATAGATAAAGATATCGTCACGAGAATGTCCCCACGATATAGGCTCACTATGACTTGGAATCAACTCGACAGCAGTAGGTATGCATATGACACACAAGGAGCCCTGGTGACATAATTGGCTAAGCATTGGGCTGTTATCCAAAAGGTTGGTGGTTCAAACCCACCAGCTGCTCCTCAGGAAAGATGAGGTAGTCTAACAGCCTTGGAAACCCTATAGAGCAGTTCTAATCTGTCCTGTAGATTCGCTGTGAGTCGAGCAGACTGGATCATGCCCTACAGCTTAACCAATTAGAAGGAAGAGGCCCTTCCTTCTAAATGATGCGGCAGAATTCTGGAGGCATCATTTAGTTTAGGATCATAGGACAGTCAGGGATTTCCAGTGGAGGGACAGGCGCTTGGGACACCATAGTCACCATCTGATATGACAAGATTTTAGTATTGAGCAGCCAGGCAGCACAATGTATCCAGGGTGCATTTTATCCCTGCCCCGAGGGGAGCTAGGGCAGCATGGGAGGGCAGGGGCCACTTTTGGTTCCCCCTTGGGAGCCCATTGTGACCATCTGCCCCCAGATGCTGGTGCCGCTGTTGCTGCAGTACCTCGAGACCCTGTCTGGACTGGTGGACAGTAACCTCAACTGTGGACCTGTGCTCACCTGGATGGAGGTGAGCCCCATCTTGGTGTTGGGAGTGAGTGAGAGGTGTCTGAGGGGCAAAACCAGCCTGGGAGCATGTGTGGGCAAGAAAAAAATGAGCCAGAGTGGAGGAGGCACTGGTATTTTAGTGTCTGTGTGGGCACACGTCTGTGAGAGAGGAGAGAGAACGTGTGTGTGTGTGTGTGTGTGTGTGCGTGTGTGTGAGAGAGAGAAAGAGAGAGAGAGAGCTAGTGAGCAGGTGCTAAGGATATAAAGGTCTATTGGTGAGAAATGGGTCTGGCTGTACCTCACAGAACACTGGGCTACAGTGGCTAAACTGGAGAGGTTTTTAGGTAGCAAATATGTAGTGTCTGCCATGGAGAATGAGGGGCAGGGGCATCATGGATTTGTGCAGGGAAAGAACAGGTTTGTTTTGGAAAGGGCAGGAGTTTAGCAGTTTGAGCAACAGCTCTGAGTGAGAGTCTCTTAAGCAGGGGGGTCAGGTGGTGACCTCCATTGGGCATGGAGGAACCTTCCCTGCGTTTATTATCGCTTCCTTCTGGCCTCTCCTGGCCACATGACCTCTCCATCTCAGCTGGACAATCATGGCCGTCGACTGCTCCTCAGTGAGGAAGCCTCGCTCAACATCCCTGCAGTGGCCGCCGCCCATGTGGTCAAACGGTACACAGCCCAGGCACCAGATGAGCTGTCCTTTGAGGTGAGGCTGTGGAGGAGTAGACTCCAGGGAGGGGGGCTCCCCATTTCCCCTACTCCCTCTGACCCCCACTCCTCCCACCTGCTCACACCCAGGTGGGAGACATTGTCTCAGTGATTGACATGCCACCCACAGAGGATCGGAGCTGGTGGCGGGGGAAGCGAGGTTTCCAGGTGAGCTGGACTTGGGCTGGACAGGTGGGGCTGGGATACTGTTCGAGCTGGGGCAGCCTCCCCACTAACCCCAGACCCTTGGCAGGTGGGCTTCTTCCCCAGCGAGTGTGTGGAGCTGTTCACTGAGCGACTAGGTACTGGGCTCCAGGCAGGTAAGTTCCATGGACGGGGGCGGGGGCATCCTCTGCATTACTGCCCATCTTGCCTACTTATTATTCATCCCACAGACAGCGACGGCCCCCCATGTGGCATCCCAGTGCCCCAGGGTGTCTCCTCTCTGACCTCAGGTATGGAAACAAGGACCAGGCCCCTGTCCCTTGCCCACTCGCCAGGCCTTTGATTGCACTGACTCACCCTGTGTGGTCTCCCTTTGTGCCCACAGCTGTGCCCCGGCCGCGTGGGAAACTGGCTGGCCTCCTCCGTACCTTCATGCGCTCTCGCCCTTCGAGACAACGGCTGCGGCAGCGAGGGATCCTGCGGCAGAGGGTGTTCGGCTGTGACCTTGGGGAGCACCTCAGCAACTCAGGCCAGGACGGTGAGGCCTGAGCTGAACCGCCTCCCCCACCCCTCCCACCAGGCCTCTGCCTGCTCAGTCCCAACCCTGCTGTTTTCTCCCAGTACCCCAGGTGCTGCGCTGCTGCTCCGAGTTTATCGAGGCCCACGGGGTGGTAGACGGAATCTACCGACTCTCGGGCGTGTCCTCCAACATCCAGAGGCTGAGGTAAGGCCCCTTCACCAACTCTTCCTTCAAAAAGCAGGTCCTATGCCAGCTGCTGGGGTCACACAGAGCTATCAGGAGTTAGGATGCACAGAACCAGGGTGGACCAAGACTAAGAGGTCAGGGAGGGCTTCTGGGAGGAGATGACATGCCAGCTGAGGTCTGAAGGGTGAGAATATTAGCATCCCAAGCAGAAAGACCAGACTTCACTGAATGCCTGCCATACAGCAAGCACTGTTTTAAGCAATGGGGACACACACAGTGGTGCATGCAGCAACCAGAAAACCCTGTCCTGACGGGGATCACAGACAAACACGGCCGTGATAGAGATGCTGGGGAGAAAAAAGCGACTGGAGTAAGGAGGAGAGCAATAATACTTCAGGCTAGAGGGTGACAGTTTAAATGGGGTAGGCAGAGAAGGCCTCAGGGGGAGACTTCTGAAGGAGGGGAGGGAGTTAGCCGTGTGGACCACCAAGGAAAGTGTTCACAGAAGAGGGACCTGTCAGTGCGGTAGATGTGCAGCCCCTTTTTTTTTAACTTTTGATTGTAAACTGGGTGAAGGTTTACAGAGCAGAACATCATTTTTCATTCAATTCATTCAGGTTTTGTTTCATGTTATCCATTGCAATCCACACGGTATAAAATCACTTCACTCACTTCCTATGTTTCCTGTTTCCATTCCTCCTCCTTTCCTAATCCTTCTGAACTGTGTCCTTGGGGAAATGGCTGCCCTTTAAATCTCCAGTGGTGATCTATCCTAAGGAGGCCCACCGCCCTCGTGTTCTAATTCTCCTTAGTGACCTGTCTGGCTACTGTTTGGTTGAAAATTGAGCCATCGTGGTGACTTCAGTTGCAGACTTGAAGGGTACTAAAGGCCATAGATTTAGGGAGTCCACCAGTCTAGTCTCTCTCCCATCTGTGAGCCTGGTTTTTCTTTGTGATTTTGAATTTTGTTCCACAGTTTCCCCCACTATATCCAGAACTTTCTAATGTGATTGCTTTCAGAGCAGTGGTAATGGTAACCAGGCACCATCTAGTTCTTTCGGTCTCAAGTCCGTAGAGACTGCTGTTCACGTGGTCTGTTTGTCCAGTGGGCTGAGTGTTTCCATGTCTCTTTGCTTGTCATCGCTCTTAGTTCAGGGCCTGTTTGCTGACTGTTAATTTTGGCTTTTACTCTGAGTGACGGGGAACACCTCTGAGGTTAAGAGGAACAGCATTCATAACCAGAAGTGGGAAGAAATGCGACAAGAGTAAGGGACTAACAGGAGGCCATAAGGTCAGAGCGCAAGTCTGGGGGACCTAGTGAGCGACAAGGTCAAGTGGTCTTGGGTGGTGGGAGCTTTTACCTTTGAGCAGTGGGACACCTCCAGAGAGTCGTGAACAGGGGCTTGCTGTGATGTGACCTTCATCTTCCAGTGACCTCTTGAAGCCAGGACAATGGTCCAACACTGTGGTAGGAGGATGGCCATACTCTGAAGTCAGATAGTCTTGGGTAGCCACAGGCAGGGGCATCGCCCACCTGATCCTCAGTGTCTTCTCTTGAAAATGGAGCACCCTCATCTTTGCCACACACACAGGCTTATTGGGGGTGGGAATCAGTCATTTTTACGTCTGACAAGCCCAACACAAAACCCAGAGAAGAGGGTCTCATCCTTCTGTGGGCACTTGTCAGCAGGAGGCGGGGCGAACGGGATACCACTGGGTAGGTCAGCTCTAACCCGAATCTCCCTCTTCCTTGGCCTGGTGGCCTCAGGCATGAGTTTGACAGTGAGAGGATCCCGGAACTGTCTGGGCCTGCCTTCCTGCAGGACATCCACAGCGTGTCCTCCCTCTGCAAGCTCTACTTCCGAGAACTGCCAAACCCCTTGCTCACCTACCAGCTCTATGGGAAGTTCAGTGTGAGTAAGGGAGCTGGGCAAAGTTGGAGGGCTGCTGGGATGCATCTGGCCCAGCGGCCATCATGCCTGTCCACAACCTCAGGAGGCTATGTCAGTGCCCAGAGAGGAAGAGCGCATGGTGCGGGTACATGATGTCATTCAGCAGCTGCCCCCGCCACACTACAGGTACACCCAGGAGAAGTGGGGAGGAACTGGGGAAGCGGGTCCTAAGAAGGTGAGCTCAGGTGTCTCCCTCCAATCCCACCCCAGGACCCTGGAATACCTGCTGAGACACTTGGCCCGCATGGCAAGCCACAGCGCCAACACCAGCATGCACGCCCGAAACCTGGCCATTGTATGGGCTCCCAACCTGCTGCGGTAAGCCCTCCCCCCTCAGGAGCCAACTCAACTTTTGTTCTCTTGTCCATTGATTTAACACATTTATCAAGTGCCTCCCATGTGCCAGAACCTTGTCTCTGAGCACCGAGGACACAGAAGTGAGCAAGGCCCTATCCCTCCTGACCTCACATTATCATGGGAGAGATGGACAGTGAGCCACCAACAAGAAAAACACAGAGTGACATCTAAAGATGATGGATGCCAAGGAGAAGTGTGCAGGGGAAAGAGATTCTCCAGGTCATGACAGCTGGAACTTTTTAGATAGTCAGGGAAGGCGTCAGTAAGAAATCTTTCTATGACTAGCAATAGAGAATTTGGTGGTGACCAAGACAGGCAAGCTCTCTGTCCTGAAAAAGCTCACATTCTTTTGAAGAAACAGATCGTAAGTAAATAAATCAGTAAAATGGATGGTATGCCAGATGACGGGTATAAGAACTATGGACGAGAACGAACAGAGAAGAAGGAACCGGAGTAGAGAGAAGGGTTCTGATTTTAAATAAAGTGCATGGGGAAAACCCCACTAAGAAGATAAGATAGCATTAGAATCAAGATGGGAAGGAGGTAGGACTCACGTGGACATCTGGGGTGGGGCAAACCAGACAGAAGGAGCAGGGACAGAGTGGCAGGAGTTGACTAGAAGTCTGAGGGGCGGAGATGATGATGTTGTTAGAATGATGGAGTGACCAAATGAAGGGGTGGCTTGCGGGTCCAAGTGAGGACTTGGCCTTTTTACTTGAATTGAGGTACAGACACGGGAGGCCTGAGCCAAGGGAGTCCTGACATGACTCAGGTATTCAGAGGCTGCCTCTGGCTGCAGGACAGGAGTGAGAGCAAAGAGACCAGGGAGGAAGCTGCTGGGCTACTTCAAATAAGAGGGGATGTGGGCGGGACCCAAGTGGGCACAGTGGAGGAGGAGGAGTTTAGATTCTAGAATGATATGGTAGATGGAGTCAGCTGGGTTTGCTAACAGATTGGATGTGGGTGTGAGGGAAGGAGGGGTCAAGGAAGACCCCAAAGTATTTGCCCTGAGCCACTAGAAAGACTTCCTTGATAAAGACAGGGAAACTATAGATGGAGCAGGTTTTGGAGAAGGTTGAGAGCAGAGCTGTAGATGTGCTTACTTTGAGAAAGAGCGTTGAGTACTCATTGCTTCTGTTGGCTCGCGGCCTTGCCTAGTCAGAGCCCAGCAGCTCAAGGCCCCTGTCACCCCATCCAGGTCCATGGAGTTGGAGTCAGTGACACTGGGTGGAGCTGCAGCTTTCCGGGAGGTGCGGGTGCAGTCGGTGGTGGTGGAATTCCTACTCACCCATGTGGATGTTCTGTTCAGTGACACGTTTGCCTCTGCTGGACTCGACCCTGCAGGTACGCACTATCCCCCAGCCCAGGACATCCTCACTACTTACCCCTTCCTTGTCAGGACAATAGTGGGAGGGCAAGTGGACCCCCAGCCCTATTCCAACGCCAGTGATGCTGGACTTCTTTCCCAGCTCTTTGAGGACACCCCCTACCCCCACCCCCAGCCTCTTCCTTATTTCAGCTCCTCCACTCAAGATCCCCACTTCTTGGCCCTGACTTTGCTCTTCCTTCACCCATTGTAGCTCCTGGGGGCACTCAGGCCATGGGTCCACCTGGGAGGAGGTGGGAGGTCCCCAGACTTGGCCCCGCCCTGGCCCCTCCCAGACTCCCTGCCCTGCCCTGGACCCCAGCCCAGTCAGGATTCAACACATCGGAGGGCCCTCTGGCCTGAGGTAACTGAAGCCAGAGCCACTGCCCTCGCTGGCTGCTGGGAGCTGCCTCCTCATCAGCTCGGTCTGCCTCACTCCTCCTCCTCACCTGCCTGCTGCCCACCCATTCCCGCCTGATTGGCCCTGGTCCCCTGCCTTGCCAGCCCGGGTGGGCACGCTGTGGGGCCGGCCGGGGCTTGGGCTGTAGCGCTTGGCTTTGCCTGTGGCCTTGGGTGGCCCCAGGGCTGACTGCCACTCACTCTCCACATTCCCCAGGCCGCTGCCTTCTCCCCAGACCCAAGTCTCTCGCAGGCAGTGGTCCCTCTACTCGCCTACTGACATTGGAGGAAGCCCAGGCCCGCACACAGGGCCGATTGAGGACCCCCACCGATCCCCAAACCTCTAAGGCCCCAGCCTCCCCTGTGGACAGGTGAGTGAGCCCTGGGGAAGGCAGAACCCAGGCCTGGAGGCCCGATCTCCTCACTCCACTGCTTGTATCTCATCCAAACCCCAGGAGGAAAAGGGAGAGAGGAGAGAAGCAGCGGAAGCCTGGGGGCAGTAGCTGGAAGACCTTCTTTGCACTGGGTCGGGGCCCTGGGGTTCCCCGAATGAAACCTCTGCCCTGGCTGGGGAGCATCCGCACCCCATCACAGCCTTCAGGTCAGAGGTCGGGCAGTCAGCATGGGGGAGGCAGGGTGTGGAGTGTCCCCCGTGATTTCAGCCTCTCTTTGCAGGCAGCCGAGCTGATACGGTCACATTGCGATCTGCCAAGAGTGAAGAATCCCTGTCATCCCAGGCCAGCGGGACTGGTGAGCACAGGGTGGGCCATCCCAGTGCCCAAGTGGGAGAGGCCGGGGCTCCTGGGATTGCTTTCCAAAAGCTGCACTTCACATTTGGGCGACTGGGGATTTCAAATTTTGTCATCTGGACTTCAGGTTCAATGAGTTGGATAAAATATCACTCTTGGTTCATGACACATTATAATCATCGGCCCATGCAGGGTGCTTTGAGACAGTCTTTTACTTGTTCATTCCTTTAAAAAAATGTTTTTAAATCATCTAATGACCACCCATGGACCTACGATGCCAGAACTCAAAGAGCCCCGAGACTTTACTGTGAGTTCCCTCCGTCTTCTCAACATGGCTTCCTCTGACTTTGATGGTCAGAATCCTCTTGCTTCTAAGGTTTTATCATGTACACGTGTGCACTTCAGTAACGAAGTGTTCACTTCTGAACCTTTGTTTAAAGAATATCATAAGAAGAGGGCATCATACTTATGTGTGTGTGTGTGTGTGTGTGGGGTGCTTCAAAAAGTTCATGGAAAAATTGAATGAAAAGATAATGGAATTATTCCATGAACTTTTAGAAGCCCCCTTGGCTGTGGAAGCTGACTTTTTAATTTAGCACTGCATTGGAAACTACCATCCAGGTCGATGAGCGTGGCTCAGCTCACTCCTTTCCATTGTTCTGTAGTGTTTTATATGTGGCTATCTCGTCACAAAGGAGCTCTGGTAGTGTAGTGAGTAAGTTATGTGTTGGGCTGCTAACCTTTAAGATCAGCAGTTCGAATCCACCAGTGGCTCCATGGGAGAAAGATGAGGCTTTCTGCTCCCATAATGATTTACAACCTCAAATGTGGGGGTATTCCAGATTTTGGTAAGGAGGCCCTTTCTGAGAAGGTCCTATGTATAAATCAAGATCTAAGGACTCCTGGTGTGGCGCTGTAAGATTCGCACTGGACTGTGAACCACAAGGTTGGTGGTTCAAACCCACCAGTTGTTCCTCAGAAACTGACTTCATGGCACACCACCACCACCATCCCATCCTGAGTTGCTTCGCATCCTACTCGCCAGGGATTGAGGGGCTCCTCTGAGTAGTCCCTGCCATGCCCACACTCCTGTGAGGTTGCTTTGCCACGTGCCCAGGAGTGGAGGTGTTTTTCTGTAAGGTGTGTTCCATTCAACCATCCAGTTGTTTTCCAAAAACTCTTGTCTCCGCTGGGCTCCTGGCAGCTGTGGTGAGATCTGTTGGGGTTGTTGGACTTCAGTCTGGCTTGGGTCTGGAATGTTCTCGTCACTCCATGCTCTTCATCCTCACTCATGCCTGAGGATGTGAAGTTCTGACCCCTACACCCCGCCCCCACGCTTCCAGGCCTCCAGAGGCTGCACAGGCTGCGGCGACCCCATTCTAGCAGTGATGCCTTCTCTGTGGGCCCAGCACCGGCCGGTTCCTGTGAGAGCCTGTCCTCCTCCTCCTCCTCGTCGTCGTCTTCGGAATCCTCCTCCTCCTCATCTTCTCAGTCCTCAGCAGCTGGGCTGGGGGCTCCTTCTGGGTCCCCCTCACACCGTACCTCAGCCTGGCTAGACGATGGTGATGAGCTGGATTTCAGCCCACCCCGCTGCCTAGAGGGGTTTCGGGGGCTTGACTTTGATCCCCTTACCTTTCGCTGCAGTAGCCCCACCCCAGGAGACCCTGCGCCTCCAGCCAGTCCTGCACCCCCAGCCCCTGCCTCCGCCTTCCCACCCAGGGCAATCCCCCAGACTCTCTCACCCCGTGGTCCCACTAGCCCTGCCTCACCCACTGCTCTGGACATCTCGGAACCCCTGGCTGTATCAGTGCCACCTGCTGTGCTGGAGCTACTGGGGGCTGGGGGGACACCTGCCTCAGTCACCCCGTCACCACCCCTGCCGCCAGCCCTCAGTCCCGGCCCGGGCTTGCGTCCTCATCTCATCCCCATGCTGCTGCGTGGCGCTGAGACCCAGCTGAGTGACACCTGTCATCGGGAGATCTGCAGCAAGCTGGCACTTCCCAGTCCCCGGGCGCCCCAGGGCCAGCATGGTAGGTCTTGCTGGGCCCACCCACATCCTTAGAAACCCTGAAGCAGAGCCCACCCAGTACCAGACTGATGCCCCTTTCTATTTTTCTCTGTGTAGGTCCTGGTTTGGATTCTCCGCTGCTACCCCCACCACTGTCCCTTTTACGTCCTGGGGGGGCCCCACCCCCACCCCCCAAGAACCCAGCACGCCTCATGGCCCTGGCCCTGGCTGAGCGGGCTCAGCAGGTGGCCCAGAAACAGAGCCAACAGGAGCATGGGGACACCGCCCCGGCCCCCCGCTCCCCTTTCCGCCGCTCACTGTCTCTGGAGGTGGGTGGGGAGCCCCTAGGAACCTCAGGGAGTGGGCTGTCCCCTAACCCCCTAACTCACCTGGGTGCCTGGGCCCCAGGACCTCCACCCTACCTACCAAGGCAACAAAGTGATGGGAGCTTGGTGAGGAGCCAGAAACCCACAGGGGCCTCAAGAAGGGGACTCAGAGGCCCCGCCCAGGTCAGTGCCCAGCTCAGAGTGGGTGGGCCTAGCAGGGACACGCCAGGGACTGTAGCCCAGTCACCGTATTCTGTCCCTTCTTCGCAGGTTCCTACCCCTAGCTTCTTCTCCCCAGCCCCCCGGGAGTGCCTGCCGCCCTTTCTCAGGGTCCCTAAGCCAGGCTTGTACCCCCTGAGCCCTCCATCCTTCCGGCCCAGCTCCCCAGCCCCTGTCTGGAGAAGCCCTTTGGGACCCCCTGCACCACTTGACAGGGGAGAGAACCTATACTATGAGATTGGGGCTGGTGAGGGGTCTCCCTACTCTGGCCCCACCCGCTCGTGGAGCCCATTCCGTTCCATGCCCCCCGATAGGCTCAATGCCTCCTATGGCATGCTTGGTCAATCGCCACCACTCCACAGGTCCCCCGACTTCCTGCTCAGTTACCCACCACCGTCATCATGTTTCCCCCCTGACCACCTTGGCTACTCAGTTCCCCAGCACCCTGCCCGGCGTCCAGTTAGGCCTGAACCCCTCTATGTCAACCTCGCCCTAGGGCCCCGGGGGCCCTCGCCCGCCTCCTCCTGCTCCTCCTCCTCCCCTCCTGCCCACCCCCGAAGCCGCTCAGATCCTGGGCCCCCAGTTCCCCGTCTCCCCCAGAAACAGCGGGCACCTTGGTGCCCCCGCACTCCTCACAGGGTACCTGGGCCCTGGGTCCCACCGGAACCTCTCGTGCTCTACAGGGCAGCCCCACCAGCCTATGGGAGGGGGAGTGTGCACCACCGAGGGTCTTTGTATAGAAATGGGGGCCAGGGGAGGGAGGGGGCTGGTCCCCCACCCCCTTACCCTACTCCCAGCTGGTCCCTCCACTCTGAGGGCCAGACTCGAAGCTACTGCTGAGCCTGAGCCGGGAGGGCCCTTCCTCCCTTTCCTTCTCCTCACTGGATCATGGCCCACCCCATCCTGTGTTTTGTATTTCCATGAGCTCCTCACCACTTCCCCAGGTTTCTAACTTTGTAACTTACTTTTGATGTGGGTCCTTAAATTGTAATCATAGCTTCCCCACCCTAGGCTGAGGGGCACACCATCCCCCTATCCTCTGCCCTGGGGGCCCTTGCACAAATCTGAGAGTGGGCTGGGCTGACACCCTGCCCTCCCTCTCCCTCCAGGAGCCCCTAATATGTCCTGCCCTGTGCACAGGGACTGGGGACAACTCCTACCCTCCCCCACTCCCCACACTCCACTAAACAACCTGACAAAATGAATAAAAATGGTGGAAATGTGGTCATTGGTGTCATTGGTGTCATGCTGGGACCCGGCTCAGGCAGCCGGGTAGGTTCCTTCATCACTTTCTGGGCCAGGCCCTGAATGGGAGTCACTCCTGGATGATTCTGAGGTGCACTGCCTGCAGACAGGGTCCTGGGGACCCTCCGGATCTGTGTCAGAAGTAGGACTCAGGCGGGGCTTGCCTTGGGGTTGGACTCCACCTTGTAGAAGACTCATTCTGAAGAGAAGGTGGGGGGATAGACTTAAAGGAGAGTCAGACGGGAGCTGCGACCCCATGGCCAGGGGACCTGGGCGAGGGGATGGGTCAGAGGATGCCCTCATATCCCTCCCAGTCAGTGGGGGGTAAGGTTCATAGGGTTAGGGGTCCAGCAGGGCAGCCCTGTGTGTACCCTAGCTGGGTTGGATCTTGGCTGAGAACTTCCTTTCTAGTTCTTCTACAAGCCTTGGGAGGCTAAATCCTGAGGGCTGGAGTACAGGGGTCACAGGTCAATGAGGGAGCAGGCAGGGGTCTCGGTGAGGCACTGGTCAAAGGAGAGGCAGCCAGGGAATTGGGTTGGTATGGACTGGGGAGGGCGAGTCATGGTTTAGTGACAGTCACGCAGGACTCTGAGGGCATTCCAACGGTTGAGTTGGGCTCCAGGCAGCAGTTGAAGCTAACCCTGGCTGTGGTCTCGAGACTGCAGCCAATAGCAGGGACTGGGGTTGTAGCCTAGAGTCAAGTTGCTACCTGAGACCCCAGCTGCACCCCTCTGAGTCCCGCTGTGGCCTAAGACCTATGTAGAGTGATGGCAGAGAGCTGATGGGTTTCCCATCGTTTCCTTAGTCCCCACATTCCCACCCTGGCTCCTGCTTGGGGTGGAATGGGGCCCGGGGACAACACAAGGGACACAGGTGTAGATGTGATCTTGGTTTGGGGGGTCATCTCATAGTATAATGTCTCCGGGGGATAGACCGGTTGGTTAAAGTATGGGACCCACCATCCCCTCCTCCTTGCCTTCTTACCTGATGGAGAACTCTGGGGTAGGGGGCACAGTGTGTGACCTGGTTCACTGGGAAGCTCACCTCAGGAACAAAGTCCTGTTGCGAGAAGGCTCAGCATGGGGACATGGGCTCCGCCACAGCCACCAGACAGCCCCTGCCCACTTGCCCTGTACTTCGGCCTCCCACAAGAGCCATCAGGTATTCTGCAGGCTGCCCCAGAAGTCAGGGGGCAGCCACCAGAGGGTGCAGAGCTGGGCTCTCAGCTGCCTCTAGCTTGGCTCAAACCTCGAGCTCCTCTCTCCCAGCTCCTAATAGAGTGCTTCAGTGGTGCAGAATGTAGTCACCCCCCAGTGAAGACCTCCAGGGCCCGAATGCACAGGCTATAGAGGTCCGAGCTGATGGTGGGCATGCTGCTACAAATCAGCTCAAACGGTAGCCATGGATCCATTCAGGAGCTGCCCTGCTGTGGAGCCTGAGGGGCCTGGGGAGCTGGTCAGTGTTGGACAGAGCCATGGGGGCAGGCAGGAAGGCAGGGACTCACTTGGGCTGCAGCCAATGCTGTTGCGGTGAGCACCTGGACTCTAGGCTGCCCACATTGGCCAGGCCTGACCACACCAGCTGTACACTATGCGAGCTGAGGCTGCCATGAGCGTACCAGCGGGCCTGCAGGAACCGCAGAGCTTCCAGAATCTGCAGCAAGAAGCAGCCAGGAGGCAGACCTCACTCAGTCCTTGTGGGTCCAGTAACTGCGTGCAGGCAACCTAGCTGTGACAGGTCTGCCAAGGAGTGTAGTGTCAGCAGCAGCAATAGGTTGGGGCTGTGTAGAACAGGGCACTCACAATGAGACCCCAATCCTACAGGGCATAGGCCACCATGTTCTTGGGGGCTGAAGGGCTGTACCAGTCACTGAGCCCCAGGGTCACACAGCCCAGCAGTGGTAGAGTCAGACACCCAGATCCTGCCGTGGCCATGGTGCCCTTCCTCACACCCACCTCCTCTGAGGTGCCCACTTTCCATGGGGGATCATGTCACTTCAGCAGGAGGGCCCAGTGTGAAGGCAAACTGTGGCTGTCATTGTACTCCCTGGTGTCCTTATGAAACACTGGAGTTGGGAAGGCAGGCAGGGGACTGGTCTGTGGGACTCGGGGAACTGCTGAGATAGAGCAACTGCAGGGGTGGAGATCATCCAACAGTGCACCAAGCTGGGTTCCAGGTGCTTCAGGTGCTACACACTCATAGGGTGGCCTCCACAGGAGGCTGGACAGTGGGGAGGGCAAGAGGGTGTAGGTCTGAGACTTGGACTGAGTTTTTCTTGTGAGGGAAGCAAGCAAGAGAGCTGGACTCTCCCCGGAGACCTGCTAGACAGCTAGGCAGGGATTCTGTAAGGGCCCATGGGGAGGCTGTCGCTCACTTAGCCTTTAAAATATAGTAGTTGCTTTTGTAAGTGTAATCGGCCTTGCCCTGGGCTGGCATTGGCTCATTGTGGTTCACGAGGAGTCTACCTTACCAGTCCCGGGGGCTACAGGCTGCTCAGCTGGGGATGGAAAAGTGTGGGCGTGAAGCATAAAGAGAACAGGTTTGGCTCCATTTCCCCAACCTCATTTACCTGGCTGAACCTCAAAGAAAGGATTGGGGGCCTCTCCCCATCTGCTCTGGCCTCAGTGCTCTGGGAAAAATAGCAGGCTGAGGATAAGTGTGGAGCAGCTGGGGATAGTGACCAGCCACAGCATGGACGGAGTCACAAAGGCTGCATCATGTCCAAAGTTGCCTTGCAATTTGCCCAGAAATGAAGTGGGGGCCAGCTCAGAGGAGAGGCAGGACTAGTGCTGATATTTGGGTGTGGCAGAGCTTTAATAGCTCCAGCACTCATATTGGAGGCATGGGGATGAGACCTGGAAGGGGTACTCATTCTGATGCCCCACTCCCACCTAGCCAGGGCACCACTCACCTCCCAGCTCAGCTTGTCACCACCCAGCTCAGCCCAGTCCCAAAGCTACAGCCCTGTTGGTTGGTCAAAAAGACCACAGGTGGTCATAGTGCACTGATGTGCTGCCCTGGAGGGAATGGATTAGGAAAGGGACAGAACAGAGACAAAAGGTGGCAGAATGGGGTCTTTGAGCATAAGAGGTAACAGGAGAATGGGAGGAGTCATGCGGGATGAGAAGAAGTTGAGGGGATGTGGGGTAATAGGGGAAGGGAGGATCATCAGGGGATAGACCAGGGCTTGTGAGGGAGAGAAACTAATTCCTACCCACAGCGACGCTGTATAGGGTTTCTGAGGAGCAGCTGGTGGGCTTAAACTGCCGACCTTGCATTTCAAACGGCTTTGCAGTCTGGTGTATTAACCCACAGCGCCACATCAGGTCTCATAAGGTTGCTGTGAATGAGAATCGACTCAACGGCACCTAACAACAGCAACAACACATCTTATAACAAAATTAATGAGAAGTGGACATTGAAATTGGGTAATTCTATTGCCCACAACTCCAATGAGTTCTCATCACACAGAGAACAAAATCCAATGAAATTCACCCTTCTTCAAGATCCATTAAGGTCTGGGCCTGCTCCCTGTTGAGTCTCAACCCTGTGAAGCATTCCCTTGTTGCCTGATGCTACTCCCACATGCCTGCTTTATTGTTACTTCGGGGCCTTTGCACGGGTGATTCCATCTTCTTTGAGTGCTCTTCCCCAGTATTTTGCTTGATTGACATTTATACTGTGGAACTCAAATATCATATCACCTCTTCCAAGAGGCATCCTGTCCTTTGTATCTTTCTCATTTCCATCACCTTTCTGCACCCCATACTAGATTACATTCACTATGACCCAAAATGTAGTGTTCCCCTCAATTCCCATCACAAATCACAGGGCCTTGTAGATGGTAGGTCCTCGGTACACAATTGTTGATTGCTACATTGCCTCTTAAGGAGCTCTGGTAGCGTAGTGGTTACGAATCGGGCTGTGAACTGCAAGATCAGCAGTTCAAAACTACCAGCTGTTCCACGGCAGAAAGATGAGGCTTTCTGCTCCCATGAAGATTTACAGCCTCGGAAACCCTGTACAGGGTCGCTAAGAGTCAGAACCAACTCCACGGCACTTAACAACAACAACAACAACAATATTGCCTCTTGACCCTTCTTCTACAGATGGTCCTGGCCACCAAACCTTCACCCCTCTTCAGGATCCTGGTGAGGCCAGCTGATGCAGACAGCCCACCAGGGTTTCTGGATCCTGCAAAGGAGCCCAGCTCCACGTAAGCAGTTAGGGTATCTGAGGACTAGGGACTCAAATTCTGGGCAGGGGTCACTAGAGATTTCATGAGAGCAGAAGGAAATGAAAGAGGAGAACTCTGGAGGTGAGGCCACAAGCAACAAGCACAACCAACTTAAGGTGGGCAGTCTCAAATGAGAGGGGGACTTAGAGGTCAGATGTGGAGGGAGACATCTGCGTAAGAAGACGGGTATGTTCTGAAGGCTGGAGGGTTGCACATTACAAGGGCAGGATCTAAAGGAATCAGAGAATGGAAGATGAAATCTGAGGGCTAAGAACTCATTCTGAGATGTGTTGTTGAGTGTCGTCGAGTCGATTCCGACCCATAGCGACCCTGTATAGGGTTTCCGAGGAGCAGCTGGTGAGTTTGAATCGCTGACCTTGCAGTTCAAACTGCTTTGCAGTCTGGCGCATTAACTCACAGCGTCACACTAGTCTGAGATAGGAGATGTAAAAGAGGGAAAGGTTTGAGGATATAGGATCTGGGGCTTGGAAAGGAGTCTGAAGGTGACTGACTGGAAGAAAAGAGGCCTAAGGGTTAGGATTTGAGTGGGGGTGGGGTCCTAGAAAGGAAGAAGGGTTGAGGGTGGGCTTTGGTGGGGGAAAGGAGCCTGAGAGACAGAGTGGGGTCTGAGGGTAGTGGGAGAGATCTGAGGGTAGGGTCTGCCTGCCCAGCTGTGGGAGGGTCTATTAGTGGGAGGTCTGAGGCCTGAGGATATGTCTGTACCTAGAGGGTGGGGACTACAGACTGGGGGAGGGATCTTAAGATTGTGTCTGTGGACTAGAGGAAAGGTCTACAGAATGAGACGGGGGATCTGATAAAAGGGTTGGGTGTAGGAGTTCAAGTAGGACTTGCAGATTGGGACAGGGTCTGTGGGCTGTAGGAGGAGTCAGAGAGAGGGGAGGGACCTGTGGGCTGTAGGAAGAGTCAGAGAGAGGGGAGGGACCTGTGGGCTGTAGGAGGAGTCAGAGAGAGGGGAGTGACCTGTGGGCTGTAGGAGGAGTCAGAGAGAGGGGAGGGACCTGTGGGTTGGGGGAAGAAGTCTGGTGGAGTTCTGAGGGCTCTGTAAGCACTAGGGGGAGTTCTCCGGACCAGACCTCAGATTCCCACCAGGTAGTGATCATCACATGACTTCTATGGACCCCAGACACACTAGTTGTGGTGGTCTAGGTGGAATCCTTGGTGTTGGTGCATCAGAGGCATTCTGCCAGGTTTGCGTAGTAACATTTCTCCACCACAGCCCTGGGTTGACAACCAAGTTGTTGGTGATGTTGTTAAGTGCCGTTGAGTCCGTTTCAACTCAGCGACCCTGTCTAGGGTTTCCAAGGAACGACTGGTAGGTTTGAACTGCCCACCTTGCGGTTCAAACCAACCTTACAGTCGAGTGCTCATCCTATGGTGCCACACCAGGACTTCTGGCTACCAAGCAGAGACAATGATATCTGTGGTCCATCCGGAGCTTTTAACTTATCCCTACACAATCCTCCCCCACCACCCAAGGACCTCTTCAGAAGCCTCAGTGCCTTCCTGATCCCTGTCCAGCTGGACTCGAAGGTCTTCTTCCCTTGTTTCTCATTCACCCCCACTGAGTTTAGTCTCTCTGTTCCTGCCCCACACTATCCCCTGAGACTTAGACCTGGGGGTCCCAAAGTGTCCTAAACACCTCCCTTTGGACATTCCTTGGGGCCTTCACACCCACCGATTCCCACTAATCTCAGTATCTTCTAAACTTGCCCTTCCTCCCATGTCTCTGTCTCAGGGTTAATCCCACTGTCTCCCTCTCTGAGCCAGAGCCTGGGGCCTCACCCTGTACATCTAGTTCCCACCAGCCTCCTACGCTTTCCACCAACCCCCTCCTCTTCTCCCCACAGTCCTGCCCTGCCCTAGCCCTGCCAGCTTCCCTGTCAACATCTCCTGAGCTCCTGGCCTCTGTCTCCCCACTCTGGGCCATCCTCCTGATGACAGCCATGGGGGATCCTGTTCCTCGCCTACTTAAAACACTTCCTGACTCCTTAGTACCCCTGGGACAAAGTCCAAACCCTGTAGTCTGGCATCTAAGGCTCTATCAGCTGGCCCTGCTCATCCCTCCAGCTTTGGGTCCCCATTCCCCCGTCTGTTTTCATATTTCTCTGCTTTTGCACATGCCTTTGAACGCTCTTCTCGGTCTTCACCTGGTTACTGATATAAGTTCTCTTTCAATGAATCCCTCTTGATCACCCCCAGGTTAGCTCAGGCATCTCCTCTGGCCTCCCACAGCCCCCAAGGGCTCCCCCACCAACCCTGACTACTCTGCTTGGGCTTCCAGCATCACAGCCCTGAAGACCCTTGGCTGTCTCCACTCCCTCTGAATCCTCCCCTTGAGGAGACAGGGCCTGGAGTGGTCCCCAGCATTGTTCACCTTCAAGTTAGCCCAGAAGGGACCTCAGAAAAATTCTAGTTAAATGAGAGAAAGGTTTGGTTGGTCTCTCCATCCCTCCCTGGATGTGTGGCCTTTTCCAAATTCTGTGTCTGCTCTTCGTCTATGGAACAGGTATTTAGTGAGGCAAAGACAGTTCTCATATTATCCATTGATTGGATATGAAAGGATCCCAGGCCCATCCCCATAAAGGGAGTCCCAAGGTTAGGAGGAGACTTCATTAGTTTTTACTCAATATGCCTGCTATACCATCTGAAGAACCCTCTTGAGTTGCAGAGCCCCTCAATCTGGTCCAGGGGACCTCTTCCCTGAGTAGGCAGCATCAGTGTAGGGCAGCAGTCTGGTAGTGACTCAGGACCTTTATTGACCACACGACCATGGCAGATACTGATGGGAATCTCTCAGGTCCTCCTCAGCAGCCTCCGCCTTAGCTCTTGGCCGAGCAGCTCCTGTTCTCTGCGGGCACCTTGCAGCACGCTCCGGTTCTCTTGGGCCCTCCGGATCAAGTAGGGGATCACCTCCTCCAGGGAGCCATAGGGGATGGACTTATATACAGCATAGCCGGCCTGTCCTGGGGGGAGAGGGTGAGCAGGGTGTGGGTCCCGGCTTGTGGAGAGTTCCATTTCTGAGATCATGACAGACTAGGTGTGTTGAGCAAACTTTCCCACTTACAAAATTATATAACACAAAATTCTAAAGAAAACTTAAAAAAAAAAAAATCTTTAAATGATTAAAAGGAGGCAAAAAGTAAAGAATTATTAAGCCATTACTCAGGGTTAGCAGGAAGTCAATTCTCCATGCTATCATCACTCCCAGGGAATGGCTTTAACAACAAGCAAAGAAGGAAAGAAAACAGGACAAAAAAATTCATCTGTGAGAAGTTGTAACCATGGGTTAGCCTGGTTACAGATTTGCAACACAACATTGCATCACCTCAAAAAACTTCAAGCCATGAATGCAGGGTAAAATGGTTCTGTAGTCCTTAGTTTCTGGAAGAGGAGAACAGAAATTCTTTTGTCTCAGGACCTTGGAAGTATCCCAGTAAAGATAACAAAGCACGTAGGAAACTATGGCTGAGAACCACAAAAAACAAAAGACAGAAGATATAGAGACGCAGCTCTGCAAGACCTTCAGATTTGGGACAAGCAGAACTATCTGAAAGCATGTGAAGGTTGGGTCAGCTGATGACTCTAGATGGGAGTCTAACTAGGCATGCATTATGGGAGAAGAGATCCAGCTGGATGAGAACAAGGGCTGGGGAGGGGAATGGACCATCCACATACCTAGTGCAAGGGAGACATGGTCACACATCCCAAGAAGTTGTCCAAAACAGACAGGCCCATCCAGAGGAATGCCCAGCTCCCACATTCTACAAAAAATGACATCCTTAGTCTAAAAAAGAACTGGACCCAGATCTGAGCATCGGTCATTCACCTGTATGACTTTCAGTTATTAAAATAGTAAAATATGGATAAGTCAATGATATTAGCCAGTACCCTGAGCCTCCTCTCCTGAGAGCCACCCAGGAGGTCCCAGTCCTTCCCTGGAACCCTAGGGCCTCCCCATGCCCCAGCAAATGAGGGCGATGCTCCGTCCAGCCAGAGACCTATAGCACCCTGCTGCAATGTTCTGGACGCATTGATTCCTGGGTGTGGCTGAGGTTAAATATTTTGAGTTTGTCCCCAGAACCCCTCCTAAACCTAGTGGCCCCACACCATTCTTGCCCTTGTTCCATGCCACCACACTCTGCCTGGCATGTATGCAAGGTAGAAGAAGAAGGAGGTTCCTGATAGGTACCCACTCCCCTTTCTTTTCCCCTGCCTCATACCGCTTGGTTGCCAGGTGAACAGATTCCTCATTGTGGGAAGCCACTATGAGATGGCACAGAGGGCCACGGCGGGACACATGGGTCAGCATCAGCTCCAGACAGCGGTTATAACTGTAGAGACATGCTAGATTCAGCTCAGATACCTAGGCAGGTTCAGCCCCTAGGGCTTCAGGATTTCCATCCTTGGGAAGGTAGGTGTTTTAAGGCCGGGGTCTCTGGAGTTCTGGAGTCAGAAACTATCTAGATTCCTCTACCAGTGTGCAATCCTGAGCAAGTTTCATCCTTTCTTTGAGCTGTTTTTTCACTTCTGTAACAATGTGAGTTCACGTCATAGTTTGGTTATAAGGATGGAGTGAGATGAAAGTGGTACAAGGTTTCTCACAGTAAAGGGTCACAATGCCACACACACAAGATGACCTGTGCCCAAGGTTACTCACAACATTACCGTGTTTGTAGAACAAAATAAGAAACAAGCGTTCCTTAGTGGAAAGCAGGCTCTCTGAATTTTGGCACACAAATAAAGTGGAGTATCATGCACTTGTAGGGGAGCATGATGGCTCTGAAGGATAAGCACTGGACTGTGAGCCACAAGGTCAGTGGTTTGAGCCCACCAGTCACTCTGTGGGAGAAAGATGAGGCTTTCTGCTCCCATAAAAGTTCACAGTCTCAAGAACTCTATCCAGAGTTGTTATGAATTGGAAGCAACTCATTGGCAGTGGCTTTGGTTTGGGGCTTATGCAACTGTGAAAAAGAATGAGGATACTGTAGATTTGATAGAGAAAAGTCAAAAGAATGGAAAATGCTTAGGAGGAGCTTGTGCATAGACCAAGAGGCAGTCGTTCACATAGAACAAGGGGATACCGATGGGTTTAATATCCGGAAAGGTGTGTGTCAGGGTTGTATCCTTTCACCATACTTTTTCCATCTGTATGCTGAGCAAGTGATCTGAGAAGCTGGGTTATACAAAGAAGAACGTGGTATCTGGCTTGGAGAAGGACTCATTAACAATGTACTATGCTGGTGGTTCTCCGTTGGCTCCTAGATCTGTTCTCGGCCCTTCTCTGTCCCTCAGAACTTATGTTCTGCATTGTCCAGGCAAGCATCAGCAGGAGATCAGAATGCTGGAGGACAGGGGTACCTCACCCCTCAGTTTTTGCTCACCCTGTGTGTTGTAGATGACCATAGCTCCTATTAGGGGTTCTCTTTTCCTCAGCTCTTGTGTGTCCTTGGGTACCTCATCATGCTTGAGTTCCCCTAACCTTGCCTGTGGGAGCACTGTGGCTTTGTAGGATAAGCACTGGACTGCTGACAAGAAGGTAGGTGATTAGAGCCCACCAGCTGCTCCACAGGAGAAAGATAAGGCTTTCTGTTCCCATAAAGATTTGTTGTTGTTAAGTGTCGTTGAGTCAGTTCTGACTCATACTTACCCTGTGACGGATTTCCAAGGAGAGGCTGGGTGAGTTTAAACTGCCGACCTTGTGGTTCAAACCAACTTTGTGGTCGAGGGCTTATCCTACAGCACCTTGGAAACCCCATACAGGGTCACTATGAGTTGGAACTGACTCGAGGGCACTTAACAACAACAACCACCTTCCCTGTACTTATATTAATATTAATAATTCATCATTACCCTTCACCAAACTCCCTCTTGTTAAAATCCCTGTGTGTGGAAATATTTCCTCTGGGACCCTGCCTGACACTGGTACATTTGTTCATTTAACCCTCACATCAATTCTGTGAAAGAGATGTCCTTATGATCTCCATTGTACAGAGGGAAAGACTGGAAGTGCCGAGCTGGGGTTTGAACCTAGACTGTCTGGTGTTCCAGAGCTGGAGCTTGCTACCACTAGACTATGCTGCCTGTAAGAGAAGCAGTTGAGTGCAAACATCAGGAGCAGTGTGCAGAACGATGCCTTTAGTGCGAGAAGAAAAAGAAAAGCTTTGTGTTTATCTCTATATTCATATAAAGGCGTTTAGGAAGGACATGTAAGGTTGCTATGAGTCAGAGCTGACTTGACAACACTTAACAACATAGAGACAGAAAGTAGATGATTGGTTTTCAGGGGGTGGGAGGAGTGGGGACTGAGGAGTGACTAGAATGAGTACAGGGTTTCTGCCGGGGGGGGGGGGGGGGAATAGAATGTTCTAGAATTTGATAATGGCGATGGCTGTACAATCTTGTGAATATACCATAAAATACAGTGTTTTGTTGTTGTTCAGTACCATGGAGTCAGTACTCACAGCAACCCTGTGTAGGATTTCTGAGGCTGTAAATCATTTTGGGCACAGACAGCCTCATTTTTCTCTTGAGGGACCAGCTGATGGGCTCAAACTGCCGACCTTGAGGTTCGAAATCCAGTGCTTATCCTACAAAGCCACCATGCTCCGCAAGTACTGTGTATTGTTGTTGTTGTTAAGTGCTGTTGAATAGGAACCTACTCAGAGTGACCCTGTATAGTGTTTCCAAGGAGCGGCTGGTGAGTTTGAACCACCAACCTTGTGGTTCAAACTGACCTTGCAGTCAAGCGGTTCTCCTACAGTGCCATGTTAGGACTCCAAGTACTGTGTAGTAAGTACACTTTAAAATAGTACATTTTGTGGGATGCAAATTATATTTGAATTTTAAAAATCAATGGTTGTTGTTGTTAAGTGCTGTCAAGTTGGTTCTGACTCATAGTGACCCTGTATAGAGTTTCCAAGGAGTGGCTGGTGAGTTTGAACCGTGAACCTTGCAGTTTAAACTGACCTTACAGTTCAGTGCTTATCCTACAGCACCATAGCAGATACCAATTATCCAACCTTTGGACAAACATGTTCCTGGAAGCTCTCATGAGTCTTGTATATAATCCTGGGTTTAAAATCATGGCACGGCCACTTGCCCTTTCACCTTGGGTAAGTTCCTCCAGCTTTCTGCCACTGTAAAATGGAGCCACACCTTGTAAGGTCCAGAGAGCAGGAGCTAGGCAGCCCCTCTGTCCCTGCTGTGTTACCAGGGCCCTGATCTAAATCAAGTGACAAATGAATAAATTCCTTCTTCCCAGGGCCCTGGAATAGAAGGTCCAAGGACCTTACCCATATTGGGCCCCCAGCACAGAGTGACTGACTTCCATGTAGTGGGTAAGAATGCAGGTTCAAGAGCCAACTTGTCTGGACTCCCAGCCTGGCCCTGTTACTTTCTAGCTATGAGAACTCGAGTAACTGATTCTACCTCATCTCAGTTTCTTCTTTTGTGAAGTAGGAAGCATTATAGTATCTACCTCTTGGGGTTGCTTATTCATTTATTCAGCAGATACGAAATGAACACCTATCATATACCAAGTACAGTTTTTGTTTTGTTTTTGGAAAAGGTAGACTTTTAATAACTGCTTTATTAATCACCAGGTTAAGCCATGCAGTTACAAAGTAGTTAGAAATTTATGAAAGGATATTATTGCTAAAAAAAAAAAAAAGAGGGGGAGGGGGGCTCTCATTCATTGCATAAACAAGATCTAGCATTTCATCAGGACACTACTTTTCAAAAGGCCCTGGCCACAATTCCCAGCACAACATTTGATCCAAGTTTGTTTTCAGTCAGACTTTCTTCATTCAGTTTGTGGGCAGAGTGAGAGGCTTCTAAGAATAGGGATTACACAAAAGCTGGGCCAATTGGGATCATTGGCAACTGGGTACAGTTTTAAGCACCAGTTCATTTGTTCATCAGTGAACAAATCAGAAACCTGTGCTCTCCTGGACTCACACTTTGTTGTTGTTGTTGTTAAGTGCTGTCGAGTTAGTCTGGACTCATAGCAATCCTGTATAGGGTTTCTGAGGAGTGACTGGTAGGTTTGAAGCACTGACCTTGCAGTTCAAACCTACCTTCCAGTCTAGTGCTTATCCTACAGTGCCACCCCAGGACTACATTCTAGCAGGGGAGAAAGATAATGCACAATTGAGAACATAAACAAAACAGAATCTCAGATAACTGATGAGTGTTAAGGAGAAAAATAAATGTAAGAAGAGGACCAAGAGTGGAGGTGGGGGCATTCCAGGTTTTGATTGGGAGGACAGGGAAGGCCCTGCTGGAGAAGGTGCAATAAATCAAGACCTAAGATGCTTTTGAGTTATGGTGTTGGAGGAGAATATTGAAAGTACCATGGGCTGCCAAAAGAACCAACAGGTCTGTGTTGGAAGAAGTACAGCCAGAGTGCTTCTTGGAGGCCAAGATGGCCAAACTTCATCTCTCATACTTTGGACATATTGTCAGCAGGGACCAGTCGCTGGAGAAGGATATCATGTTTGTAGGGTGGAGGGTCAGAGAAAAAAAGGAAGACCCCCAATGAGATGGATTGGTCAAGTGGCAGCATCAATGGGCTCAAGCGTGGCAACAATTGTGAGGTTGGCCCAGGATCGGGCAGTGTTTTGTTGTGCATAAGGTCGCTATGAGTTGGTACTGACTTGATGGCACCTAACAACAACAACAACAACAAGGTAAGGGACTGAGTCTTGCAGCTATCTGGAAGAAGAATGCTCTGGGTGGTGGGAACCGGAAGTGTAAAGACCCTGAGGGTCAATCAGGAAGTCAGTGTTGCTGTCCTAGAGTGAGAGCAAGAGGGAGGGGGGGGTGATGAGACCAGATCACGTGGTGCCTGTGTGCTGCTGTAAGGATTTAGGGTTATTGAGAGTGGATGGGAGTCGGGGAAGAGCACTTGGAAGAGTGTAGAAAGGATGTGATTTGGTGTTAACAGGGTCCCTCTGGCTACCTGAGGAATGGGGAGGAAGGTGGGGGGCAAAGGAGAGACTAGAGATCTGAAGGAGGCCGGTACAATGGTTCAGGTGGGAGGTGCTGAGTCTTGGGCCAGGGAGGCTTAATCTGTAAGCACACAGGATGCTCAGCACAGAGCCTGGTGGGTATTGAGCCCACCACTAAATGTTGTTGTTGTTAAGAGAGATTAGGGTTAGGGTGGGTTTGAACCACCCACCTTGTGGCTAGCAGTCCAGTGCTGATCCTACAGTGCCACATCCTGTTAGATATTATTATTTCACCCAGAGCCTGGCCTGGCCCCGTCCTACCTCTGATTGGTGGTCTCATAGTCAGGCTGGGTGGGATCTTCAGTCCCTTGGAGCCGGGCTTCCTTTCTCTCCTTGTCCAGGTAAGCCCCTCGTACCAACTTCACTCCAAAGGCCAAGCCAGCCCTGTCTGCAGCCTCAGCATCCCGCCTCAGCCGCTCGTGTGTGTCCTGGCAGGGCATGCAGGCAGGTTCCGATCAAGGCATTGGTATACCAGCCCGTGATCCCCCAGAGTCCACCACATACCTTCAGATAGGCCTGGTAGGTGTTCCAAACCCAAGGCCCGCCCTCCTTGTTCCAGCGCATAGCTAGGGCAGCCACCAGCAGCGAGAGTGCAGGGTTCAGAGAGGTATACTCAGCATCCACTAGGACTCTCACGTGCTGGGTCCGGGCATACTGAGGAGGACAGCAACTCTAGTCAGGGGCCCAGGAGGAGCTGTGGCACCAGACCCCAGCGGAAGGTGTTACCTGTACTACGCGGTGCAAGCGGCTCAGAGAGGCCCGGAAATGCCGGGTTTGCTCTGCATTGAGGCAGGAGATTTGAAGGTCCTGGGGGGTGGCAGGGGAGGCAAGGAAGGCTCAGGGCTACTGGACCTTCCAGAACATAAACTTCCACCCTGCCACTCGACAAGTGGAAAAAAATTAGTAACTGTTAGAAATCTGATAAGGCACAACACATAGATTTTTCTTACTGAAGTATATAATACAGTGGCTAAAAACACAGAATCTGGGTTAAAATCTTGGCTCCATTATTTCCCAGGTAACCTTGAGAAACTCATACAACCTGCCTATTGTTGTTAAGTACCATTGAGTTGGTTCCAACCCATAGCGATCCTGTATAGGGTTTCTGAGGAGCAGCTGGTGAATTTGAACCGCTGACCTTGCAGTTCAAACCCACCTTGTGGTTGAGAGCTTAACCTACAGCGCCACGCCAGGACTCTAGGCCTCAGTTTTCTCTTCTGTTCTCAGTTTTCAAAATAGAGATGATAACAGGGTCTACCTTACGGGGCTATTGCATAGATAAGATGGGTTCAGGGGTGTGAGTTTGATACACCTGTGCGTAATAAGGTCAGGACAATGTCAGCACATAGTAAGCACTCAGTACATGTCATTATTATTATTATTATTAACAGATGAATTAATAAGCTATCTGATTTAATCTTCACAACAATCCCAGCAGGCACATGTTATTTCAAGCTGCATTTTCCAATAAAGAGATGGGAGCTTAGCAAGGTGACGTGACTTGGAATTTACATATGGAAAATGCTTAGAATAATAACTAACACTGGTAAGTGGCATGGATAATGACCCTGTATTAATTAGTCTCCTGTGTCCTCACCAAATGCCAAGAACCTTACCTACAAAGTGTCACCTGATCTGGCCCTTTGTGATTTCTCTGCCCTTACTGTCTCCTACTCATCCCCTTACTATCTGGATACGGCATTGACTCTGCTAGTCTTTGAACATGTTAGGTGTCTTTCCTGCCTCAGGGCCTTTCTTCTGGATGTACCTTCCTCCTGGAACATTCTTCCCTCTTATGACCGCTTTCCTCACTTCCACTTAATGTGTTGATATTGACTTTTGTTTTAATTATTGAGTGTCTCTTGCTCCCAACTTTGCAACTGTCTCTGCCCCAATGGCAGGAATTTTGTCTGTCTTGGCCATTTTTGTCTTCTGTGTCCTTAGCTAAGTACCTGGCACATGGTCCTTGTTCAATAAACATTTGGTGAATTAATATATTTGTAACACGGGAATTATACCTACCTATAATGTATATATAGTCTTGTTATGGGAATTCAACAGAGTAAATGGAAGTTGCTGATGATTCAAGGGAATCCACTTAGATTTGAATCAATTTGGGAAATTTAAGAAAGAGAAACATTTTGATTGTATTTGTACCACAATAGAAACAAAGGAAGGAAGGAAGAGAAACAGGTAGGCTTTTAGGTTTTATTATATCCAATAGTGTTGAGATGAATGGCATAGGTCTATAATGGCTAATGGAACCCTATTGGGGCCATTGATTGACCTGGAAGAGGCAAACCTGCCCATCCTGAGGGAGAAGTCTCTCTCTAGGGGAACGGAAGTCAGCTGGGGGCAACTTTCCTCCAAAAAGTTACCTATTCCCCCTCACTTGGGGCTTAGTCCTGAAGGAGTTCTGGGGTATTAGTGCCACGCTCCCAGTATACATGGATAAGTCAAAAAGTAGTGTTGTAACATATTTAAAATTTTTTATTTAACAAAAATTTCAAAATGTGAAGCGATTGTTTCTCTCTCTAGCCTCCATCTTGGTGTATACACTTCTGAAGATGCTGTTTCCATCTCTCTAGCCCTTCCCCCAATGAAATTCTGTGCTCTTTGGTTTACAGTGTGGCAAAACAACAGTTTGGGGTCCTTGAGGGATTCAAATGGTGTTCCCTTTAATTGTTGTTTGAGGTTGGGGAATTAAAAGAAGTCTGAAGGGGCAAGATCAGGGCTATAGAGTGGATGGGGTCATTTTTTTCCCAACGAAATTCTACCCTTGGAGAATGAATAGAATTGTTGTTAGGTACCATCGAATTGGTTCTGACTCAGTGATCTTAAGCACAACAGAATGAAATGCTGTGGTTCCTATGGCATCTTCACAATTGCTACATTTGAGCCCATTGTTTCTGCCACTCTGTCATTGAGCATCTTCCTCTTTTTTGCTGACGCTCCACATTGCAAAGCATGATGCCCTTCTCCAGGAACTGGTCCCTCCTGACAACATAGCCGAAGTATGAGAGACGAAGTCTTGTCATCCTGGCTTCTAAGGAGCATTTTGGCTGTACTTTTTTTTTTTTTTTTAATGCTTTATTGTGAATTATGTGATAGTTTACATGGGAGAACATTAGTTTTACATTCATTCTATCGTATATCGTTTCATTGCCATGGTTACAATCCCCTCCATGCAATCCTTCCCCCGTACTCCCTAGGTCTTCAGCACACAGTTGCTCTCCCTCTCTGGATCTAAAGTCTCTAGCTGCTCCATCGCTCCACGTCATCATCTCTGGCTCCATTTCAGGCATCACTGCTTCTCTGGGTAGGGTCCTGCTCTCTGCTCTTCTCCCTTGATGGTCCTAGGGACCTCCGCTCCTAGACTAAAAAGTTAATCACTCCCCTCCTTGCTATAAAACATCCACTTTTACATTTCCGACCCTCACAATCAGTCCTGGTGACAATTATTCACTATTGTGTCACTTGGCTGTACTTTTACAACACAGATTTGTTTGTTCTTCTGGCAGTCCATGGTATTTTTGTTTTTCAGTTCTTTCATCCCTAGAAATGCTGAGCGTGTTTCCCTTTTGGTTTTCTAACTCTAGGTCTTTGGTTTTCTAACTCCAGCTTCATCATAATACTTTAACATTTTCTGTTCCATTCTTTTACCTCCTCATTTCGTCTATTCGCTTTAGCTTCTCAACACTCAAGATCAAGTTTCAGTCTCTTCTAACATCCATTTTGGTCTTTACTCTCTTTCCTGTATTTTTGCTTTCTTCCCGTGTGATGTTCTTGAGGTCTTCCCACAGCTCTTCTTGTCTTTGGTCATTAGTGTCTAATGTATCAAATCTGTTTTGAGATGGTCTCTAAATTCAGGTGGATATATTCAAGGTCATATTTTGACTCTCGTTACCTTGTCTTAATTTTCTTCAGCCTCATCCTAAACTTCCACACGAGTAATTGATGGCCTGTTCCACCGTTGGCCCCTGGCCTTGTTTTGACTGATGATATGGAGCTTCTCCACCATCTCTTCCCACAGACATAGTAAATTTGATTCCTCTGTATTCCATCTGGTGAGGTCCACATGTATAGTCACCTTTTATATTGTTTTAAAAAGCTTTTGCAATGTATAAGTTGTTAGTTTTGCAAAATTCTGTCATACAATCTCCAGCATTGTTGTGCCAAGACCATATTTTCTAATGACTGACCTTCGGACCTTCACATTCCAGTCACCAGTAATTATCAATGCATCTTGATTGTAGTTTGAGCATTTTCAGACTAAAGAAGTTGGTAGAATTCTTCAATTCAATCATCACTGGCTTTAGTGGTTGGTGAGTACATTTGAATAATAGTGGTATTAACTGGTCTTCCTTGTAGGCATATGGGCATTATCCTATCACAGACAGGTTTGTACTTCAAGATAGATCTTGAAATGGTCTTTTTGGTGATAAATGTGACACCATTCCTCTTCAATTTGTTGTTCCCAGCCTAGTAAACCATATGCTTGTCTGATTCAAAGTGGTCAATACCAGTCCATTTCAGCTCACTAACACCTAGGATATCAACCTTGATGTGTTCCATTTCATTTTTGTCATCTACCAAGTTTCCTAGGTTCATACTCGGTACAATCCACACTATGATTGTTTGCAGCTGTTTCTCCTCATTTAGAGTTGTGCCCCATCAGTAAATGAAGGTAATTGTTAGAGTAGAAGAAAACATGGAATGGTTTTACATCAAGAAAGATGTGTGCCAGGATTGTATTCTTTCACCCTGATTTAATCTTTATGCTGAGCAAATATTCTGAGAAGATGGATTATATGAAGATGAAAGCACAATTGGAGGAAGACTCATTAACAACCTGTGATATGCTGATGACATGACCTTGTTTGCTAGAAGTGAAAAGAACTTAAAATACTTACTGATGAAGATCAAAGACTACAGCCTTCTATATGAATTGCACCTCAATGTAAATAAAGTAAATGAAAATCCTCACAACTGGACCAATAAATAATATCGTGATAAAGGGAGAAAGAATTGAAGTTGTCAAAGACTTCATTTTGCTATTATCCACAATCAACACTCATGGAAGCAGCAGTTGTGAGATCAAATGACTTATTGCATTAGGTAAATCTGCGAAGAAAGACCTCTTTAAAGTGTTAAAGAACAAAGATGCACTTTGAAGACTAAGGTGCATCTTACTCAAGCCATGGTATTGTTCATTGTCTCAGATGCATATGAAAGTTGGACAATGAAATAGGCAGACCATAGAAGAATTGATACATTTGGATGGTGGTGTTGACGAAGAATATTGGAAGTATTGTGAACTGTTAAAAGAAAACACATTGTGTCTTGAAAGAAGTACCCCCAGGATGCTCCTTAGAAGCAAGGATGGTAAGACTTAGTCTCTTGTAATTTGGACATTTTCTCAGGAGGGGACCAGACCCTGGAGAAGGACAGCATGCTTGGTAAAGTGGAGGGTAAGCAAAAAAAAAAAAGGAAGATTCCCAAGAAGATGAACTGGCACAGTGGCATTAACAATGGACTTAGCAGTCATTGTGAGGGTGACGCCTGCAGTGTTTCAGTCTGTTGTGCACAGTCGGAACCGCCTTGGAGACACCTAACGGGATCCCGCCCTCATAGAGGGTTGCTTTGTTATTTTGTTCTATTCTCCGCTTCCAGCCCCAAATATTAACTCATTTAATCTTCACCGCCCTCTGAGATAAGGTATAATATCATGCCTGTTTTGCAGATGGGGCAATTGAGGCACAGAAAGATTAAACTCACACAACTAGTCACAGGAAGACCTGTGATTTAAACCTCAACCAGTGGACTCCAAAACCTGGGTTCTTAACCATCACTCTTCATACTCCAGGGTGGGGAGCCAATGTTTCCCGTAACATATGTTAGGATAGTGTCTGGTACATGTTCATGATCAATACGCTTTCTATTAATTTATTTTTGAAAATCAATTTGCTTCATTCATTTATTCATTCACATATATTAATCCTACCTTGTTCGGGACCAGAGACTGGGGATATGGCAATGACAGGACAGTCATGAATTGTGCGGTGGAATTATTGGATGTGAGCTCAAGATGCGGGCAGTGGGGCTCAGATCTGAGGATGGGGCATAGTAGGCTGTCCCTGAGCAGGTCTGGGGAGATATTGAGTCCAGAGTAAAGACTCTGGGGGATACTCAGGATGAGATGCCCAAGAGTCTTTGAATCTGAGGCTCAGGGGATAGGTTGGGACTGGGGACAGAAACATAGGCAGCATTAGGGCAGAGTTGGGAAACTGAGATACTAGAGGTAGGCAAGAAGATTCCTGCAAGGGGACGTCCCTATGGAGGAAGGATGTCAAGACTCAGTCCTGGGGAACTTCCATATTTAAGAGACAGGCAGAGAAAAATCTGATAAAGATTAAGGAGCTGCTGACAAAATTGGAAAAGGAAAATTAGATGTACTGGTATTGGAGGTGCCAAAGGAAACAAGTGATGTAATAAAGAAGGAGGCTGATTATTTATTACATAGTCAGATACCAGCCTCTGCCAGGCACTTGATATATACATCTTAATCCTTTAAGCCACCCTTGCTAACACTGTGTTCTCACACGAGTAAACTTTACATAAGTAAAGTTCATTAAGAGGTGAAAGTCATCACACTTCAAAACCGATCCTCCTAAATGTCAAAGGCTGTGTCAGTGTGTTCTGACATGTTTTTAAGTGGTAGATGAAACAACATAATCAAGATTTAAAAAGGAAATATGAGTATATCCTCTGTAGCATTGGAGTAATGGAGACTCTGGTCTCCCCAGTATCCATCCCTGAGAATGGAAACCAGGTAGTTAGAAGTAACAATTAAAAGTGATGGTTTAGATACACACAAAGAAACCAGAATTGTAAAACCAGGAGCTAAACAGAATTTGAGATATATAACATGATGTTATTTGCATACATTTAAAATATTACCCCAGAATGATGGAGAAGGGGCAAAAGAAAACTTTGTGAAGTGATGAAAATGTTCTAATCTTGACTGGGATTTGGATTGCTCAAGCATGTGTTTGTTAAAATTCACCAAGGACTACATTTACAATGTTCACGTTTCAATGTAAGTAAACCTTACCTTAAAAAAAGAAAGAAAGAACCATAAGAAATTGTTGGCAATTGTTGTTGTTACTGTTGTTAGGTGCCATCAAGTTGGTTCGGATTCATAGTGACCATATGCACAACGGAATGAAACAGTCTGATCCTGTGCTATCCTCACAGTTGTTGGCACCCTTGAGCCTATTGCTACGGCTAAACTCTAATTCACGATCCACATCCTGAAGCATTGCGAGATGTCTGCAACTTACTTTGAAATGCACCAAAAGATAAAATAGATCAATGGATGGATACAGGAATCGATAGGTATGATTTGAAACAAGTAAAATATTAATGGTAGAATCTAGATGGTGTTACATGGGTGTTGCTCTACAATTATTTCAACTTTTCTGTACTTTTTGAAATTTTTCATAATAAAGTGTTGGAAAAAATATGACCTACCAATAGTATGCACTTGGAAAAAAAAAAAAATCTCAGTGTCACAAGAGTGTGGTGTTTTTGTCAGTGTGTGGTGTGGGCTTTTGATATGGTGTGGAGATATAAAAAAAAAAAAATGAATGAATGAATGACGAAACAAACTGAAATCCCATTGGCTTAACCAGAACTCACATCTAGTGGCACATGCCAGTATGGTTGTGTTGATGGATAAAATATTTATATTATTCTTTCTTCTGTTTGAGAAAAAGATGTCCCAATCTCTGGCGAGTACTCTCATCACCCAGACTCCTCCCCTAAAATTCCCAGATGACTTATATTCCATTCAGGGTCCTCTGGGGCCCTGTCCCAAGATATAAACCCAAATCAAACTCACTGCCATCATGTCGATTCTGACTCATAGGGACCCTGCATAGGGTTTCCAAGGCTGTTCATCTTTATGGGAGCAGAAAGTCTTGCCTTAGTCCTGTGCAGCAACTGGTGGATTTGAACTGCCAACCTTTCTGTTAGCAATCTAGTTAGTGCCTATCCTGAGCTACCAGAACTCCTTGTCCTGCAGTATGTTGTTGTTGTTGTTAAGTGCCGTCAAATCGGTTGCAACTCAGTATAGGGTTTCTGAGGGGCACCTGGTGAGTTTGAACTGCCAATCTTGTGGTTCAAACCAATTTTGAGGTCAAGTGCTTATCCTATGGTGCTACACCATTTATTCTGATTGTTCTAAGTCTGGGAAGTCGCCATAGCTAAATATTTTTAGCATCCTACCTGCAGGCACCTGCCACAAAGAAGTCTGGGATCTCTGCTCCCTCCACACTCCCCACCAACACTCTAATCTCACCCAGTCTGATGTCTTTACCTGTGTAGAGTCCATGGCGTCTGCCAGCTTCTCAGGGCTCACCTCCAAGGAAGCCTTTGGGTCCCTGACCAATGAGGTTAGCTCCTTCTGCAGTGGGACAATGGATAGAGGAGTGGGGGGCCAGGTGGGCAGCCATACCCCCTCCACCATCCTTCCCCTCCCTTACACAGAGCCAGGTGCTGGTCAGCGCTGTCATCTTCAGCTGCATGAGGATGTTCCCAGCCGGGCCAGGGGTCTCCAGAAGACCTCGCGACAGGTCCACACACCGCAGCATGGCATTGAGGTTCCCCTCATACCACGCCTCACTGCTCGTCAGCAGGCAACAGGGCCTGAGCCTGCTAATTCCCTTCCTGCTATCCCCCCTTCCCTCTTCCCAGGGCTCTAGCCCCCTTACTTACCCAGTCTTGGCAGCTGAGTCTGGCTCCTCCTCAGTGGGCACTGCCAGCAGGGGCCTCAGGCCTAGGTGCTTAAGCTGCCGGACACAGTTCCTCACCTCTGCCACAGTCTCACCAGCCACAAACTGCCCATAGATGGATGCCCTGAGAAGGGCACCCGAGAGCCGAGAGCCCAGGAGTCGATGAGACCAGGCCTGAAGCTGGGATGACAGGGAGCAAGAGCTCAAAGCAAGGCCCTGGGGAGTCTCCAGGCCAATCCTGGGGGTGTCTGCTCACCGACAGCCCGTGGGTGACCAGAGAAGGCCAGGCACACAGCCGCAACACCAGTAGTGCTCTGGTGAGCTCTCCTGTGCCTTTGAGGTGAAAGGCCCCACTGTCAAAGCGGAGCCTCTGCCAGCCCCCAGCAGAGGAGCCAGCCTGGGAGGAAAGCACCCGATAGGTCTGGAGCATCATGAATCTCTGGTCGTTTCTGCACCAGGAGTAGGGGCTTTGGAGGCAGGGGGTCACCAACTGTCCCTGGTCTGGACCAAGGGCAGTGACTGATTAACTGGGCAATGGACAGGGATAGACAAATCTTTAGGATTACAGTTAATTATCCTTAGGGGGGCAGTTAATTATTAACTGGTGAGGACAGAGTTCAGAACACTGGGACAGAAAAAAAAAAACCCATTAGCAGCCCCTAACCAAACCCTCAGCGTAACAGCTCACATTGATCCGATGCCCACTATGTGCCAATGGGTGCTAGCTAAGTGGGAGTGTGGGCTCTGTAGCACGTGTTTCTGGGTTCAATGCAATTTGGCTTTGGGATTTTGGACAAGCATCTTAACCTCCTTGTGTTTCAGTTGGTTCATCTACAAAATGGGAAAGTGTGATATTATTGAATATATTTGAAAATGCACATGACCCAGCTATTCCTTGCTAGGTATTTAGCCTAGAAACCTTGAACATGGACATCAGGAAATATGTGCAGGAAAGACTGACTATTCATAATGGCACTGTCTGTAACAGTTCCAAATGAGAATCATCCAAATATCCATCAACAGTAGAGTGAACAAATGCACTGTGGAATAGACCCACTGGCTGCTCCTCAGAAAACCTAAGCAAGGTCGCTATAAGTTGGAACTGACTCAATGGTGCTTAACAACAACAATAGTTCTGTAACCAAACACTATATAGCAATGAAAAGAATGAACTATGGATATAACCACATGATGAATCACACATGTGTGAAAAAAGCCAGCTGCCAAAGAGGACATCTATGATTCCAATCAATATATTTGAAAGCAAAAACCAGTAAAATGGAACTGCAATAGAGGCGGAGATACATACATGATCACCAAGGAGTCAAGGAATATAAGTTGGGAGATAAGAAACTTCCCCCAGAGCTAGCACAGAGAGAAAGCCTTGAGTTTGAACTTCTAGAATCCTAAATGAAAGAAAATAAGTTTCTGCTTGTTAAAGTCACATACTGGTGGCATTTCTGTTACAACAACACTAGGTAACCAACACAATAAAATTCACTGGTAAAACCATCTGGGCCTGTAGTTTTCTTTGTAAGAAAGTTCCTAATAATGATTCAAATTCCTGAAAAAATATATGACTCTTCAGATTTCCTATTTCATCTGTATCAACTTTCACAATTAGTGTGTTTTTCAAAGAAGTGTCATTTCATCAAAATTGTTCAATCTTTTGGGACAAAGTTGTTCAGAACAGCCTCTTTATTATTATTGTTTTTTGCTGTAGAGTCAGTTCTAACTCAGAGAACCCTATGCCCAATAGAACGAAACCTTGGCCAGTCTGGTACCATCCTTGCGCGGTTGTTCCCAATAGAACGAAACCTTGGCCAGTCCGGTACCATCCTTGCGCGGTTGTTCCCAATAGAACGAAACCTTGGCCAGTCCGGTACCATCCTTGCGCGGTTGTTCCCAATAGAATGAAACCTTGGCCAGTCCGATACCATCCTTTGAGTCCATTGTTGTCGATACTGTATTAATCTGTCTCATTTGGGGTCTTCCTCTTTTTCATTGACCCCTCTACTTTACCAAGCATGATGTCTTCCAGGGACTGGTATCTCGTGATAACATGCCCAAAGTACGTAAGACAAGTCTCACCATCTTAGCTTCTAAGACAGATACGTTTGTTCTTCTCATGTTGTTGTTGTTGTTGTT